TACATCAACATGTGTCCCCTCTTCTTCATGTCTCTTCTACATCAGCATGTGTCCCCTCTCCTTCATGTCTCTTCTACATCAACATGTGTCCCCTCTGTGGAAAGAGACTCTGAAAGTTTCAGGAACAAAGATTCTCTCTCTTTTTGATCCATTTCTATAAAAACCTGTCTGAAAATGAGCTGATCAGATTTTGGCCACTTTATGATGTCATAACGATGTTTTGTCTTGTGTAACCATTAGCCAATCAGCAACCAAGGTAACCCCCCCCCCTCCCTTATCACCTGAACCTCCTCCTAGAGCACCATTGAGTTCTTTGTAACCAAATCTCTCTCAGAGGGGCGTGGGGAGGGGCTCCTTATTTTCATCTAAAGTAACAGACAGAGAATCAGCACTTTGGAAACAGGGCTGAAACAGAGGGGATTATGGGTAATGCTGCAATGATCTGTTTGGTGTTTCAGCCAATCAGAGACAGGTTCTGTATATATCTGAGACCTATAGTATGTTGATGAAGAACAGTATGATAGGGGACCTTTAAGTACTTCAGAATCAGACACACTACTTGTGTATTGAAGTATGTCTATTGTACTAAATGCAGTGTTTGCTCTCCTTTACAGAACGTGTACAGGAAGGCTTATGAGATGTCCAAAGGCCAGCCGACCGCCTTCATCTCTGATACTCCTGAAATGATTCGCATCAGGAAGGCTCAGGAGCAGCTCAGCGAGGTAAGACCGAGGACTGTGGTGGTATTTTACCCCCAAATCGTTACGTTTTAAGTCTAAGGTTGAGTTTCGACAGGTTATGGGAATGGGAGATTGATTATTTTGAATTTGTAAAATAGCTTAATTGAACCTATGATGTGGTGGACACTTGATTTGAGTTTAAATCGATGAGTGTGGGGCAGAGATGCTGACCGAACTCATTGTGATTTGCTATTTGGCAAGGCTAGTTTAGTTATATGGCACATGTCAACATAAGGTCAATCAAAATGCTTTACAAAAAATATGCCAAAACGTTCACAACTTAAAAAAACCTCAAATCCCACCGTTTATTTAGATTTTATTCAATTTATTATCGTCCATTAACAGTAGGAAAAGCGCTATAAAGATACCATGTATTCTTATTATAATAATAATTTATGTTGAAAGCATATAGTGCAACAGAAACACATTAAAAGTTAGATTTAAATACATTTAAACAGTCATTTAGAGCCATAAGACTAAAATAAAACTAAAACTGAATGAATGAATAGCTATTTGGATAAATGAATGTGTTTAAAAGATGAAGAACTTACTTCATTGGTTCGCTCATGTCATGAATTCTAATAAATGACACTTTTCTCCCTCAGGTTAAATACCGCATGGAGGGCAATAAGACTCGGACAACCAGCATGTACGGTGCCGAGGCCAGAGAGATCGCCCACGTCAAGCACGTGTCCGAGCTGATCAGCAAGGTGAGCGACCTGAACCTATACAACAACAATATATATAACCATAAACCAGTATTTACAACACGCTTTGACGTATCTTTTGCAGGTTCTGTACAGACAGAAGTGGGATGAGACTAAGGACCGGTACCTGCTGCCGCCTGACGCTCCTGAGCTGGTGCTGGCTGTGAAGAACGCTGCTAACTACAGCAAGGTGAGCACGATGTACTGTCCAAACAATGCTTTAAAGGTCACCTATTGTGCTAAATCCACTTGTCCATGTCTCTTCTACATCAACATGTGTCCCCTCTTCTTCATGTCTCTTCTACATCAACATGTGTCCCCTCTTCTTCATGTCTCTTCTACATAAACATGTGTCCCCTCTTCTTCATGTCTCTTCTACATCAACATCTGTCCCCTCTCCTTCATGTCTCTTCTACATCAACATGTGTCCCCTCTTCTTCATGTCTCTTCTACATCAACATGTGTCCCATCTTCTTCATGTCTCTTCAACATCAACATGTGTCCCCTCTTCTTCATGTCTCTTCTTCATCAACATGTGTCCCCTCTTCTTCATGTCTCCTCTACATCAACATGTGTCCCCTCTGTGGAAAGAGACTCTGAAAGTTTCAGGAACAAAGATTCTCTCTCTTTTTGATCCATTTCTATAAAAACCTGTCTGAAAATGAGCTGATCAGATTTTGGCCACTTTATGATGTCATAACGATTTTTTTTTGGCTGGTGTAACCATTAGCCAATCAGCAACCAAGGTAACCCCCCCCACCCTTATCACCTGAACCAAATATCTTTCAGAGGGGCGTGGGAGGGGCTCCTATTTTCATCTAAAGTAACAGACAGAGAATCAGCACTTTTGAAACAGGGCTGAAACAGAGGGGATTATGGGTAATGCTGCAATGATCTGTTTGGTGTTTCAGCCAATCAGAGACAGGCTCTGGATATATCTGAGACCTGTGATATATTGATGAAGAGGAGGATAATAGGGGACCTTTAAGAGAGAGTACAAGCTCCTGGAGAACAGGGAGCTGCAGCAGTGAGGAGGTGCTGAGAGGACGCAGCATCAGTTAGCGAGAGACGGATAGATGTGCCTGTCATGTGGGACCTTTATTGTTCTTTCATTAGATGTGATCTGCGCTGAGCAAATTCTAATCAGCTGCTTAATTATGAGCCCTCACGGCCCTGCTGACGCATAGAGTTGGCTTCCAGATTGATTAGGGGAATGCCTAATAGCTGCAGAGGCGAGGCAACACACACAAACACACACACACACACACACACACACACACACACACACACACACACACACACACACACACACACACAC